CTATAGTTGAGCAGCTTCTGATATCACTATAGTTAAAGGAACAACTACAGGTTAACAATATCTATGCAGTTTGTTACCCATTTCTTGAACCTGCTAGATTAGGCTTTATTTGTTGATTATCTTTATTTGATTATTTTATTTGTTTGATCTATTTTTGTATTTTTGTTGTTTAACTATCTATTTCCTAATTTAGTTTTTTATATGACTTGCTGTTTGTTAATTTCTTTTGCTGATTGTTGTATATTTCTATATCTGGAACATGGCTGCTTGTTTGTTTTGTTATTTACTAATTTGATTGATCATATGTGCTTTACAATTTTTCTGGAATAGTATGATGCCCCACTTTTGTCAAAAAAAAGAAAAAAAATTTTTTTCAATAACTGATTCAAAGTTTTCTGAATAATTTGGTTTTGATGAAAGTAAATTTTATATTGAAATAAAGGATAAACACATTGAATAAATAAAATCTATAGTCTTTTGGTACTTTAAGAAGAACATGCCAAGTTGATTAGTTTGTACAGATTGAAAATAATAGATAAACAAAATTTAATCACTCTTTATTCAAGTTGCCGACTTTGCACTAGCAACCAGAATATAATTAACTATTTGTAGTTTGGATTTCTAGTAATACTAAATCTAATAATGTTAGATTCAATATTTTTAAGAAAAGTTATATTATTGAAGAGAACTTGTAATATTGTTTTTAGATTTTGTCAATTTTGTTTGTTTTAATGATCTATAGGAAAGAGTTAATTAATAAGTTTTAGTCTATTAAAAATAATTTATTTATTTATTTATTTATTTTTTAATATTAATGGTGAGATCATATCTCTATCTTTATTGAATATTTAATTGAGATTTTATATAAAATATAATTTTGTTTTTAAAATATTATAGAAAAAATAAAAGCTCAGACTAATTTATTTGTGATCTAAACCAACTGGAGTAGCCAAAACTCATCTAGATTTGAGTATTAGTAATTATGTATAGAGGATTAGTTTGATATTTAATTAATTGGATATACTAGAAGTTTATTTTTAAACTAATAAAATTAAGTGAAAGAGAATGTGATAAAAGTGAGATAACATTTGAAGGTGTGTTATATTTAAGAGTTTGAACTGTAGAACTTGAGATACAATATGGGATCCAGATTTTATAATAAATTTGTTAGTTAAGATGAAGTAAAAACTTGTTAACAAGTGTTGTAACTACTTTTTTGGATAACAGATTTGCAATAATGTCAATAAGTTCATTTGGTATTAGACCTATTAGAGTTGAAAAGATTGAAGTTAAATCTGGTATGTTGTGAATAGTCATACTACTCAACAGCTTAATTTGGTTATATAAATTGGTTATAGTATTTGAAGTAGTATTGAGTGTTTTAGTGTTTAAAGTATGTTGTATTCTATATGAAGAATTTATTTATTTTTCTACAAATACAAAAAACTATTTAGATTTTGAGATAAAAGAATATGATTAAAGTATTTTATTTTAGTAAACTATATTTTTATTATATGTTTTCAATTTCTAATTAGAAACTTTATTTTAGTATCTTTATATAAAAAATTTATGATTATTATGTAATTCATTACTACAGCTATTGTATGAATCATTACTATAATTATTATATAAACTATTTCCAAGACCATTGCATGAATCATCATCAGTACCATTGCATGAATTATTACTAGGAATATTACATTAATCAATACTGAGAATATTGTATAAATTATTACCAGAAATATCATATAAATTATCATCAGAAGTATTATATAAATCATTAACAAGAGCATTATCTTCAGTACTATCAACATTAATACTATCAAAAAGATTACTATTACAATTATAGTATAATTCAAAGAATGTATATGAACTATTTAAACCATTTTACAGAAAATTGCAAGGTCAACCTTTTCATGCTTTTCAAATACCACAAAAAAAACCATCATGTATTCCTAGATTTACTTCTGTGAGACCTTTTGCACAATCAAGATCAGTATTAAGCAAAGTTTTTAATTATTTTTCATCTGTAACTTATGAAGATATTAAAGATTTCAATGAAAATCATTCAAATCAGAAAGAAATTCACTGTCATTTTCATTATCATTTTTGAAGTTTTTTTTATTTATTTCAATATTTAAATAATAAATATTTTAAATAATGTACATTTGTTTTATTTGAATTTAACAAATAAATAAATGCTTTTAATAAATAGACAAAAAAAATAAGTCCTTTCGCGAATGCCAATTTTAAACAACAATTTTGACAAGGTTGTTCACATCGGTCTATATGAGAATCATGTGATTTTCATATAGACCGATGAAAATAACCTTGTCAAAAAAGCACAGGTTGTTACATAGTATACATGGAATAAATAAAATACATGTAGCATTTATAAATAATTTATATCACATTGTGCAAAGAGCAATTATTGTTAGAATGCGAAAGATAGTTCATAATTAAAATTTTGAGATAAAGATACTTTCAGTATTTGATCTAGAACATTCTAAGATTTTTTTTTGTGTACAACGTCGCGCAGCTATCTTATTATATAGCATACTATAATGTCAATCTCGTTACATAATTTGTTAGACAGACAGATTGAGTATTTATTACTTAACGATAATACGAAGCAAATTTTATTAAATAGATAAATAACTAAATTTATACAAATAAAATAATCAGGGTCATTTAAACATAGTGATGTACCATTTTCACCAAAGTGTCGCCGGACTATTGGATCCAGATATTTTCAACTATTACATTTCTTCAGATAGTTGGACTTTGGATATCTATTTAGCTTCTACTGGTACCCCCACATTTCATCATTTGTCTATATTCGGTAGTCGATTGCTTAGCCATAATCTATAATGGTTCTGGTCTAAATAAGCCGGATATTCATTTAGCTCATGCGGATAGTTGGGCTAGGTGCTAAGAAAAGGCCCCAAATTGACAAAAAAAAAGAGCTTCGGAAAATCAGTTTTTGTATTGTAAGTCTTATAATGAATTATAAAAAATTGCAAAATTTTATTAATACAATTACTTTTGTTTTTTATGTAAAAAATAATCCTAATCTTATTCTAAATTGATTTATGCAAAAAAATTACTTTTGAAAAATTGTCAAATTTGGGCCCTTTTCCTAGCACCTAGCCCACGTATTCATTTGATGGTTATTCCTAAAACAAATTTAATTTGCTCAAGAATTCGTGAGAACAATTGTAAGATACAATATGAAAAGATAAATCAGTAAAACAAAGACTAACATTAATTACCATTGCAGGAATGGTAATATTAATCAAAAATTTTATGCATCTCTTATCGTAACGCCATATCTATTTCACAATAGAAGGTTCTATTATCTAATAGATTATACAAATTTGCGTTTACTTATGATTATGCAAGTTAACTTTGTTTATCTATTATAGTCACCCCAAAATTTTACCGTTCTAGGATTTAAATGATCCTGAAAAATCTTGTCGTCTGCAAGAATTGCATATTTTCTCAAAGGAATCCTTTATGTGGAAACAATGACCCATATTCTAATATCAATCGATCGACATCCTATTGATTCTATATATGGTATATATAATGACAATTCGTCAAACAAGGAATTCTCTGGTGTGAGTGAGTTTTATCAGGAAATATTAGTTTTACGTGTTATTTTTATACATTTTATTTGGTGAATATTAGTTTTGGAGTAATTATTTTAAATGTAGTGAAACGAAGTGTATGGTCATGAGCATGTATATTATGTATAAATACTTAAATTTAATCGGAAATGCATAAGGTTTTGTATTTGAGTAACGAAAAGGGAAATCCTGTAAATCATTTCACCCATTGAGTGAGACGATTTACAGGTTTTCCCTTTTCGTCACTCATTTATAAATCTAATGTGATTATCATAAAACTGTAAATAACGCACATGGGTATAACTTCAAATAATGGCACGAATTAAGCTTAATTAGGCTAAAATTCGAAATTACCGTATAGGTGGATTTTGTCGATTTTGGTGATTATAATTAATAAATCATTTATGTGTATTAGACATTAAAATATAATAAAAAATTGAAATCTATGAATTATATAATTTGCTGATTGTCTTCTGAGTTATGAATTGCGTCATGAAACCGTTTATGAAAACATGATTAAGTTTAAACATTTTATTTGTATTTGATTGGTTAATTGTATACTTGCTTATTAATATTTTGATATAGTGACGCTGCACAATATATTTTATTATTCGGAGTGGTTATATAATTCTATTGCATCACTTAATTTTTAATGATCACGATATTCATGTCGCCCATACGTTGCTGGTTTCACGGTGTATAATTAATGCATGACATTACGGCACATTTGTGAAATGCCCCAAAATTTGAAATTTTTGATTACTAATATGTAAATATAGATTTTACTGAGATAATCAACATTCCCCAAGTTATGATGCGTGGGAAGATGGGTTAGCCTGTGGGAAATGGATTAGACTCGTTATTGGTACAGATCAGGGTCCAAAAAACTTTTTCGAGGTTTAACATTGATTGATTAATATAATTTGGTAACCAATATCTAAATTTGGTGACCAAATGATTGGATTTGATGAACATTTGTTTGCTTAATTTCGCTAACTTGATGTAAGAATTGTTTACTAATATCGATTAAACTAATGAAAAATATCTAATGTCTGTACATTAAATTGGTTGAAGCTGTAATGAAAATTTACAATTCTTATTTTATGAAATTTTAAATGGTACAAATACAACAGATTTTGATTTAGGTTTAAAGTGAGAGTTGATCATCATTAGAAACATAAAAAAAAATTTTATTTCCATTCTTTTTTAGCTTCAAAGTTCCCAAAAACTCGGGTTAATAAACTAATTTTTAAACTCAACATTTGCTCGCTCTGTACACTCTACACGTTCTGCACACTCTAATCGTGTTCAATCAATTATTTATAATATAAAAACTGATCATATCGATCATAACTAAATCGAAATAAATATAATCAAAAATAACAAGAAGCATAGCACAAAAACTGAACCATTTTATAGTACATAGGTTAAATAGTCTATCTGACAGGCAAATAATGCATTATTAACACAAATATATAACATTATTATATGTAATTCATAAAGTAAATTTAACTAACAGATAAAAGCATACATAATTTTATATCATAAACAGTGAATGAAAATAATATATTAACACGTTTAACATTATTCCGGGCTGTCCTCTATCAAATAGAATTGGAATGGTACTGAGATCCGAAAACGTGACCGATATCACGTGCTATAAGTTCCGAATGTCAGAAATGTCAGATATGTCAGATATATTTGATATATCCGACATATCTGATATATCGCTTATATCGCATAAGTGTGATATATGCGATATATGTGATAAATTAGATATATTCGATATACTAGACAAGTCCATATTGTAAATAGACAAGACAGTTTATTATAAATAAAGGGCAATTAGCCCAGGCAAAAGAGAGGCGATTCCAAGTTGCAAAACATAAACTACCTACCCGACCCCTAATAACTGTGAAAGTGTTATCCTGTAAACACCAGTACTATCGTTAAATCCCAGTACTAACGCTACCCCCAAGAACAACCAAACCCGTAATTGATCGCTCGCATAGTCACGTGCCCGATAAACCGAAACGAAAGAGAAGAGCTCCAACCCGATTCGACGTAGTGAAATCCCGGTTGAGACAATAGAGAAGAAAAGAATTAGAACAAGAGTAGGCTGAAGGAAAGACTCAAGAGAAGAGACCAGTACTTACCTACGGACGATAATCCACTCGCCAAATCTAACACGCCTGTTTCGACTTAGCTGCCATAGGTAACGCGAGAGTTGGAATAGTTTAGCGACAGACTCACCGAAACCCGAGACGACAGTACGTGTAAACATAGTACAATTACATATTATCGATTAATGAATGATTCCGCAAACGTGACTTGATTACATATCGGGTCATATTAGATACGCATCTAATTAAATGCAAATATTTAAACGCATGGCATAACGATAACTGTATATTTTTCTAAATAAATAAAATTTTGTCACATGGTAGCGCTTTAAGAGATTCACTTGATTAAATTCACAAATCTGAGATTACACGTGTTTATTAATTAAGAAAACACAGTTAACTGTGGCATCGAACCACATCATCGAATATTGCTATACCCTCCGTTTTCACTTACGGAAAACTCCATTCATAATATAAGCTTAATAAAGCTACACTGATAAAATGTGTGATTAATTATCACGCAAATCCTCGTCATGAGACGTGGAATAACTATATTTTATCGTCAAACAACCAAAAATTATTGTTGCCTTTTTCATCCTGTATGTATCTTCACTTATGTTATTTTATATGTAAATTCGTTTTTCAATATTTTCTAGATCTTTCTTTTTAAAGATTCTAATTACATTTGTTAATTTCTGAATCACCTCCTCAAATCTCTTGGTATCATCGTAAGTAACTAACTTGCGCCTCCACAATCCGACCCATTCACTGCGACACTCGATCACTGCCAATCGATGCTTGTCGAATTCAGACAACAGATTATTAATACGATGCCGTATGTCTGGAACCTTTTTCATTATCTGTAATAAATAACCAAAATTTTGTTCTAATTTTCCTGTATCATAACGATAGCGTTCCATTAACTCTAGTTTAATCCCACTAAAGAAAAATTCTACATCTTTCATCCCATTTGCAAGTTGGTGGTGCATCCCATTATACAAATTATAAAGATCATCAAGTTCATTTACAGTCATTCTAAGTTCATCTCGTAGCTTAGTAATGGTTGTTAAAATCTTTTCGTGACGTTCAACAAAATATATTGCATCCCGTTTTGTAATAACTTTTTCCTGATAAATTTCATCATTAATGGATTTTAGCTCTGCCATAAGTTCCTTAAGAACATAATTACCAGTCAAATACATTTTTTCGATGGCCTCTCCTGATTTAATTATTTTATCCCCAAGCTGATTAAGATACTGAGCCACACTATCAGAATTTTTAGAGGATAGTTCATGCCTGTTTATAACGTCGGCAAGAAATTTACTTGTTACTCGATATTCTATGATCACAGAGGATGCTATTTGATGGAATAATTGCTATAAATACTTATGATTTATTCAGGAATAATTAAAAAATAATGTACCTGGTATATCAAGTTCAACGAGTTGTCTTGAAAGCGAATTAGTAGTATTTATAAGATTTCCGAATATAGGCAAATCAACTGGCTATATATGACAATAAAAAGTTAAATCATGTGTCAAAATCCTGCACTTTAAAGTAACAAACCAAAATCTCACCGGAAAGAATATTTCAAATATTGGCTAATTTCCAAAAATGTTAATGGTTAGAATGTCGTTAAAGACACACACATAAAAATATATATGACAAACCTACTTCATAATAAAATGCAAATCCGAAAATAATAACGATGACAGCAACTAAAATACTGATTTTGTTTATTATCGAATCACTAGCATCACCAACAAAAGAGCCTTGATCTTTCGTAACATTAAGGTTATCTTCAGCACTAGTAGTTCTTGAGTTTTGCTTAGTATTAGAAGCATCGTTGTTAAGACCTTGTTCGGCATAATCTCCAACAAAAGAACCTTGACCTTGCGTGCCAATCAGGTTATCCTCAACACTATTAGCACTTGAGTTTTGCTCAGTATTAGTAGTGTTGTTAAGACTTTGTTCGGCATTAAGATTACTGTAATCTCCAACAGAAGAACCTTGGCCTTGCGTGTCATTAGCCTCGGGTAATTTGAGTTTCGCATTCTTACATACTGAACCATTAATTTCAATGCTGCCATCACTTTTTTTGATGCGTGCTGTCTTCCACCATGGTTCTGATTCTGGAGATTTAAGCTTTAGATTTTGTGTACATTCTTTCATTTCAGTTACTACATTGGTAACTGGAACGTCTATTTCTTTACAAATTGTCTCGGTGGTAGCATCCTTCTTATCGTTGCTACTAGAGGTACTGTTGCTAATATCAAGTTTAGTATTAGCAACAGAGTGACTATTTTGTTCTTGCTCGGATTCAATACTGGTCTCCACACTATCCCTTTGCAAACCTGTATCATTCCTTTTTTTCTTATTTTGGTTTATTTTTTTATTTGATTTTTTTCTTTTCTCATATTGGTTTGGTTTATTCTTTGATTTTTTTTTTTTAGACATTCTGTCCCTTTGCAAACCTGTGCTGGAGAACAAATTTTGTCCTGGGGGTTTTAAAAAAATAATTATCTACGTTGGCAAAAATATGGTTTTACAGTATGTGATGTGAAAATCTAGAAGTTTCTTCGGAAACGGTTTTCCGATTGCAAAACTATTTTGCACCTATTTGTAGTTAAAGGAAACACGAATTAGGTACAGTCGTATGTACAGTACATACGTACATGGATTATTCAGCCTATTTTTATAATGTTTAGTGATATACAGTAATTAATTAAACTCAATATAAAAAAAAAGAATTTTGTTCTGCACAATTATGAGATACCGCAAGGTAGGGATAACTTTGTGGGACGTGCATATGGCTGCATTTGAGTGCGTGAGAGTGAAAACCTGAAGGCTTTCACTTTCACACACTCATTTGATAAATTCAAGAGGTCGGTGAATTCGTTCATTGCTCCTTAAGAGAGGTTAACAGTAAACATGCAAAAAAATATTGAAAACTGTGCTGAAAATCCGTTAGACGAACGTTTGAATGGCATTAAATTAGAACAGAAAGATCCTGATGAACGTTCTGGAGAAGGTTTGCCAATATTATTACTTATTGAATTCGAGATAAAATAATAAAAGCTGTGCCAATCCCTCTTTAAATGAACATTTGAAGTTATTAGCTTTACTAAACCTTTAATGATAGCTGTTTGTAATTTTAAATGCTATTAATTAATGCAGTGCAATCCTAATAAATATAATAGCACCATCTTTTTTTTTTCTTTTTTTAACTTCTAATTATTTCTAAACTGTTTTTTATTTTCTTAGTCTCCTCAACAATTCGACATCGACCAGTTTTAAACAAAATAACTTCCGAAAATTCAAGAGATGAGGATGACAAAATACCTGAAAAACCGCTTGATAAACGTTTTTCAATAAGATTTGGAATATCAGCGATATGTTTAATTATTTTACTAATAGTTTTTATCAAAGTAAGTAAGAATTAAATACTTAAAGAATATTTTAAAGTTAAACTTCTAAATTTAATAATATTTATTAGATGCGATTTGGGCAAGAAATTTCTCAAAATAAAGGTTTTGTTTCTGAGAGTATCGTAAAATTAGCAAATTTTGGATCTGAAAATTTATTATCACTTGAAATCCCAGGTATATATTTTCTTTTAAGATAAGTGCACAAACCATATAATTTAATTAATTAGTACTTTTATTTAGAAACAAGTCAAATGAGCAGTTATCGTGTCGTTATTCGAGACCTTGGTGTTATAATGGAAAAAAGCGATATTATAGTTAAAAATGGAAAACGAATTTCAGAAGTACTTTTTGGGTTAGACAAAGAAATACAAGAAACAGGTGACGCGCTTGAGGAATTTCGACATCAAGCGAAAGGCTTTTTCTTTTCACTTGCAAGTGAGATGAAAGCAATCACGCAAGAAATTGAAAATTCGCAGTGGTTTGAATACGGTTTTTTAAAATATTTTGCTAAATCAAATAGCCACACTTTGTCTGATAGTTCAGTAAACTTTATTTGTAAGCGGCTTGGAATGTTAGAAAAACAGATACCCGGATTTCAGGAACAACTTAAGAGAGTTATTGTCGCTGTTTATTCAGTCCGTGATAGTGCAGATAATACTCATGGATACTTGATTGATGGAGAACGAGAAGCAGAACGTTCTTTAAAAAAACACTGGATCGGTAATATTGCCGATCATGTAGTACGAAAGCGAGCAGAGGATGAGCTTTTACGAGTGCGAATTATAATTAAAATGTTAAAAGAGATAGCACCAAATCTTATAAAGTTTGAAAACTTCTTAAAAGAGTACCGTCGTAATATACAAGATGTTTCAAAAGAAGTAAAAAATAGTCCCACAACGGCAGAAGACCTAAAGTATTTGCAAAAAGCGGTCGCAGACCTCGAAAAACATCACGTACAATTCTCTTTAGCAGATAAACAATCTATATCTAAATCCATGGATGTTTTCGATGTTAAATATCTTGAAGAAAAGCAGAATCTTGAAGAAGAACATATAAAATTTTCTTCAGAAGAATATAAGCCTGCGGATATTCTTGAAGATGCTAATGATGAAGATATCGAAAATGGTATTCTTTATCTTTTGCAAAAATTGATTTGGAGCATTCTTTATGTTTTGAAAACATTGATTTGGATCATTGTATATGTTTTGAAAACATTGATTTGGGGCATTTTTTATGTTTTGAAAACATTGGTTTGGGGCATTCTTTATGTTTTGAAAACATTGATTTGGGGCATTCTTTATGTTTTGAAAACATTGATTTGGTGCATTCTTTATCCTTTGCAAATATTGACTGGAGTATTTCCTTAAAATTGGTTTCTTTTGTTCGCAATTAGATTTTATTCGATTGAGGTCTTTTCATTAAATATATAGTATAACTCTTATTTCACACTGAATTGTGAATAACATACTGAAGATCGAGCCTAAAAATTGCTAAAACAAAAAACTTTGAAAATTTATCATTGATGACAATGTAAAGTTGAAACTATTTGTTATTAGAAAATTTGTTTGTGCAAATAGTTATTCATTATGTTATATCGATTTACTAAGAAATCTGATTAAGTATTTAGGTTGATATCTGTTAACAATTTTATTGTCAAACTTATTAGAGAATTAGAGACAAACTAGAATCGCTTGGCTTCGGAAAATTGGTTAATCATCTTTTTCCACAGTAAATGCATAAATATTAAAGATTCTTTATTTCAATATGCATTATTACCTTAAAATGCGTAACTATAATAAGTTATATATTGTGAGCCCGATTTTTTGGGATCACGGGTGCCCGAATCGGGGTGACGATCCTTACCCGATCCAAGGTCACGCAGAAATGTTACTTATGGCACTTATGGTACTTATGGTACTTATGGCACTTATGGTACTTATGGCACTTATGTCACTTCTGCTACTTCGGCCATATATGCGTTAAATGGCATATCGGCCTTTTA